GGTGGGAGTGGGTGGGGGGCCGGGGTGTCACGACCGGAGCCAACTTGTTACAGACTTGGGCCCACGCCTTAAGGGGTTAAACCTTTCTCATGTTACGGAGCGGCTTATAAGGAGGGGGAGGCCAAGCCTCCGCCTTATTGGGAGCCTTTTGGGGTTTATTCTCTTCCCTTCTAACTTGGTGAGTTGGTTTTATTATTTTACATGTTTAAAAGTTTGATTGTGGGGTATGGGTTTTTCTTAAAAAATAATAATAATAATAATAAGTGTTGGGGGCCTTTTGGGGAAGGGAGGCGGAGGAAGCCACTGCACACTGTAACATTTTGGAGAGGTTATTCCAAAACAGTCTGTGACAGTTGGGAATGCTCGGGGCCACCAGGATGACGCGCGCTCGCCCGTATGGGCAGCAGAGTTGCATGTCCACGACCCCGGTGCAGTCCGGGTCCGGGAAATACCCAAAGGTTGGCCTGGCGTGTGAGTGCCCCTCGCCCCGGGTGAGGGGCTCCACGCTGTCGAGCGAGGCAGGGGCGGCGGGCTGAGCCCCTCTGTGGATTTTCCGCATGAAGTTGCCTGCGCGTCGCAAGAGCGAAATGTCAGAGGTACCTTGCTTCCCCCAGGCTCGCGCGCGCACGCAGAGCAGCCACTGGGGCAGCGCGAGGGAAAGTGGGGCTCCCCGCCTCTACCTCCGATCCCCGACTTCCCATTCTCCGGGGGTGGCCCATGTTGCCTCGGGAGGGATGCAAGGATTTCCCCGAGGAGTGCGGGTCCTGCACCTTGACAGAGCAGCCAGCGGCTCACGCAGGTCCCGCGCAACTTCCAAGGTTCGCAGCCAAGAAAGCGCTGGCGTAAGCTTCTCGGTTCTGGAGCGAAGGAGAATGGTTTTGCAGAGGAAACCGGTTATTTCCTTCTGGCTTCTTTTCATTCCCTCCACCTCAGCAGACAGGTGATAGAAGTTTGTTAGGTGTCATGTAAAATGTCACCAAATATGAGGGGCGTCAGTCTTAGGAAAAAGCTCCCTGGAGTCAACCGGGAAAGAGCAGTTAAAACTTGTCGACCTAGAAGAGGGGCTTTTTTCAGTTACACACTCCTGCCGGCTTCTTTCGAAGGAGGAGGCTTGTACCCTTGCAGATCATAGGAACGTAAGTGTCTTGTAGGGAAAAAAAAAAAAAAAAAAAAAGCCAAATTCTTATGCTGCAATCCCTGGTGATGCATCTCCGTGTCCCAAGCACTATTTTGTAGCATTTTATGGGGTCAGTAAGACATCCTGCTGATGAATCTAATAGAAACACCTCTTCTTCCAATTAAGGGGAAGGGTGTCCAAGATAGAAACTGACCGTATGTAAATAAACAGTGCAGCCAAGTGGAAAAACTCCTATCTTAATGAGTACCACTAGTCCTGCGTTTTCCTTCTGTGGCTTCCAAAACAGGACTTTCCTCAGTGGAACTCCTGAGGAAGACACTTAAATTAGGGGCTCGGGTTTCAACATCATGGGTCTGCAAGACGGGTGAATTGGTTGTACCCGGTGAGTCAACGCTGCACAGGCAGCCGGCCAGGTTAGGTTTGGGATTTTTTTTTTTTTTTAAATAGAGAATTCAAATGAACTTCACCCAAATACAGACTGGTTTGGACAACTGGGGCCAGAGATAACTTGTCAAAAGCTGCTCTCCTGGCTACGCCTTTAAGAAGAAGAGAGATTGGGAGCGTGTTTGCTCTGGCTATGCCAAGGCTGTGGCGGTGGGACCCCTCCCGGTTCCATCCCGTTTTGAACTTTGAACTGGCCATGGACTAGCTCTCAGAGAGATGGTCTGTAATAAGCCCAGCATTTCTATGTCCTCAGGGCAGATCTCTTCTCAGCAAATTAAAATCACTGTGAAAATTCCAGGTAAAGCTGATTTCTAAGCCTCAGTAGGATACCCATTTATTTTAAGGGTATGCCTTTTTTTTTTTTTTTTCCCTTTGGTCATTTTGAGGCAGGGTTTCACTATGTAGTTCAGATTGGCCTGGAACTCACTCTGTAGCCCAGGCTGGCCTCAAACTCAAAGCGGTCCTCCTGCCTCAGCCTCCTGAGTGCTGGGATTACAGGCATGAACCACCATGCCCAGCTTTTTTTCTTTTCTTTTTGTTGTTATTCTTTTTTCTTTAAAGGGACAGTTAGATAATCAAATGTTCCTAGGAAATATTCCAAACTGCCCAGCATATTTTGTCATACTCCTTCAGAAGGGCAGAGGGGTACAGGGGAGACAGCTCCCAGGAACCCGAATTTACAATTATATAATTTTATATTTACAAAACACCTGAGAGACTGCTTTGTCTAAGCTCTGCTTTTAAGGATGATGAAATCGAGGGATTATATGATTGCAGCCTATTAGTGATAAACAGAAATTCAGCAACTACTGCTCGATGGCTTCAAGAAGATAAACCCCAAACCAGTGGGTCCTCAAAGGGTTTGAGCAGGACAGGAGAGTAACTCTGAGCAAGTCAGGATCACAGACTATCACCGAATTTCCTTTGCTTGGCCAGGGATGTAGCTCAGATGTTTTGCTAGCAAGCTCAGGGCCCCGGGTTCCATCCCCAGCACCACACGGAAAAAATTTTTTTTTTCCTTTTTTTGGAGCAGGAAGAGATCTGAGATCAAAATCTAGTTCAGTTCCCTTGTTTAACTGTTGAGGATACTGAAGCTCAAGAAGTGAAGTAATTCACCTGAACCCATAGGGTCACACGGCCTGCCTCAAAAGTCAGACCCCACATCACCAACTAATGTTCTTTCCTACCAGATACAGCTCAGAAACCAAACAGGCAGTTTTCATATTGTGGGATTTGTAGAGGCTTCTAGGTAATCAAGTTTAAAATCCAGGCTTCCGTTGCTTTGTTTGCAGAAGCAGATAGTTTGTAAAACCAATTGTCCTTCCCCTGAACAAGTGAAAGAAAAGGAAGAGAGGTGAGGAAAAGGTATATTCTGCAACCTAGCACTTCCTCATTTTATGGCTTTGTTTTATAAAGCAAGAGCTACCCATTGCTTTGGGACTAATCCAAGACGCTCATTCAGTAAGCTTTTAGTGAGCACATAGTGTATAGCCAATGCTGTGCTAGGCACAGGGTCTGGAAAGAGCAGGTGATTGCCTGGCAGGTGCTTGCGCTGTGCAGTCTTAACGTGCAAAATGCAGGCATTTCGCCTGGTGTTAGACACCAGGCTATTCCACCGTTAGGTGATACTGTGGTTTTCAGACCACATACAATAGGAAATAGGACGCTTTATGATGATGAAGGCATTCGCTTTGGAGAAGTGGGTTGGAGGTGCCTTCTTCACTTTATGATGATCCCGGTAATAAGAAAGCAAGCTGTCCTCCAAAACTCCAAGACTGCAAGTGAGAATTATATTTGGATCTAGCCATAGTAGAGCAGCACAAACACCCCGAAAGGGCACGGAAAACAAGTAAAAGTCAAAAGTCCACTCTCTTCAGAGCAGCTGTCACAAACTAGATCTAACCAGTGTCCACTCTTGTTTCCAAGAGCCTGCTAGCATTTGCACTTTCCTTCCAGCTTAGCTTCCTGGGGTCACTCATCAGGTTTGAGCCCAGAAAGCAGCTGATTAATAGAATTCGGTGCTAAATTCTGAAAGTCTCAACTGCTGAAGCTGGAATAAACCTTAAAGATTCCCCGGACCCATCGTCTTATTTGACAAAGATATATTCATGCCCAGAGGAGGGGAAGAGACTTCGTCAAGGTCACATAGTTAAGTGGCCAGCCAGTTCACAGACCCCTTTACACATGATGATCAAGAGAGCTTTTACCTTTAGCAAAAAGGCTTTCTCACAATCACTATGTGAAACATTTCCCTCGCTGGCCTTTAAAATGCTGCTCGGTAAGCTTAGACAGGAGGCTCTGTGGGCCAGGAGATTTGAGTCTGGACCATTTTAGTCAAATCCCTTCACCTCTCTGGGCTCGGTTTCGATTTTGCAGAATAAGTAGTGTGTTACAGAAGTTGAACAAGACGAGCTCCAAATTCCCTCAGCTATAAATCTGTAATTCTGACTCCATTTGGGGACTACAGGTGATCCTCACCCCACTCATTTTGGAACTGCAAACTAGTGATTATAGAGCAGGGGAAGATGAGCAGCCATTACCAGGGTTGAAGAGTTGGCCTGCACCAGGGCTGGTGGTGCATGTCTTTAATCCCAGCACTCGGGAGGCTGAGGCAGGAGGATCACAGTGAGTTTGAGGCAGATCTGGGCTGCGTAGTGAGTTCAAGGACAGCCTACACTACATAATGAGGCCATGTGTCCAAAAACAAAAAGTTTTAAAACCTCAGGGGCACCTATACGGGCACCCAATTGTGTCAATGTGACCTTGGAGTTCGTAGCCACTTAGTTGTGCCTGCTTGTCAGAAATGTGCAAAAAAAAAAAAAAAATTGTAAAAAAAAGAAATGAATTACAAATTTAAGGGCCAGGGATATAGCTCAGCAGTACAAGTGCCTGCCGGCCAAGCACAAGGTCCTGAGTTTGATATCCAGTACAAAAAGAAAAAAATTGTAAAAGTAAAGAAAGAAAGAAATGTGCCAAATTCTGGAAGAACATGGATGGATGGTTGTAAATAGGACACTTTTCAGCCTAAGGTTTGTTATCATCAACAAATATTTTAGTCCATGAAGGCAGAGACCATGTCTCCCTCTTTTCATTGTAGAATCCTTATGATGAAAGGGCCTAGCCAGGTGTGCCGGTGCCTGCCTATGATTACCAGCACTCTGGGAGGCTGAGGCTGGAGGACCCCAAGTTCGAGACCAGCCTGGACAACTTAGTGACTCAGCAAGACCCTGTCTCAAAGTAAAAAATTTTAAAATTGGGATGGGATGTAGCTCCACATGAAGGCCTGGGGTTGAACACCTAGTGCTAAAAAAAAGAAAGAAAGAAAAAGCAGAAAAAGCTCCAGCCTGACATCTGCTAGGTGTTTTGTTTTTTTTTTTTTTTACAAAAAAATAAAAGCTATATAGTTTGGGAGAGCAGAGTGATAGAGATGTAGGCCGTGGATTTTATGAGCTTATAATTTAATTGAATAAATAAAATAAATGCATAAAAGAAGTGATATGAAATGATACCTGTCTCATGAAAATGAGATGGAGGTGGTCACAGGAAGCCCTACGGCCAGCTGCAGGAAGATGTCCAGCTCCGGGAAATGGCATGGCCAAAGGCAAGGTGACCAGAGACCCAAGGGCCATGAAAAGCCCATTTTGACTGTGTTAGGAGAGTCAAGTCTTGGACCTGCAAGAAAGAAGGCTACCAAGATAGGTTGGGGTCTGCTGGGCGTGGTGGTGCACACCTGTTATCCCAGCACTCGGGAGGCTGAGGCAGGAGGATCACTGTGAGTTTGAAGCCAGCCTGACACATAAGATAGGTCAGGGTCCAATTAGCCTGACACTAAAAGTCAGGCTAATTAGTGGGTTTTATCCTTCAGAAAGAAAAAGAGAATACACTGAAAAAGCCTGAGCAGAGAAATGCCATGACAATGCAGTATTTCTACAAGACTAATCGTATCACACACATGGAGCCAGTTAAAGCTATGAAGGGAGCCGTGGGCTTCACAGGGAGAAGGTCAAACCCATGGCCTCTTGGAAGGGGTGAAGGCGAGGCATTGACACCCACAGGCTCACTGCTGCCACCTCCCCTCCTTCTGCCAGCCCTGGGCCCTGGGACAAGCCGTGTTCTAAAGCCAGCCCCAGCAGGGACTTTTTTTCAGTCTCCTGAACCAGAAGGCTAATGCGGTTTTTACTCCCCTCTGCCCCCTGCTCCCCTTGAGAGTGACTTCTAAAGGCCGAAGGAGGGCGGGGACCGCCTGGAGGGCGCCTGGTTTCCACCTTAGAGCACCTGCTTTCTGTGTTGGGGACACTGATGATCACCCCACCCAGCTCTTGAGCTGTTTCCCTGCCCTCCCCACCTTCACATTTGCCCCCAGGCACAAGCCGTCACCCTGCAAAGGCCTTTGCTGCAGATAGCCCAGGCTCCTCAAAGCATCCATGCCCCAGTTCCCTGAGCTTAGCGTTTGACAGTAGCAGAGTACAGAGCGGTAAAGAGTCCTTCCCAAGTCCTCGGCCGCCGTGCGAACGGAGCGGTCCATAAGATGAAGAATGTGAAGCTAGGTCAGATGTGGTGCTATTTAAGATTTATAAAGTTAATTCAGAATATTAGATCTCATGATCAGAAATCACAAGTCCATGGCATACATGAGCTCACATCCTACTTTTCACTGGCCTTCTACTGTGGATAAAACCTTTGGTTTTTGACTTGAACATGAAAACTTACAGCTAGGGGCCGGGGATTATGGCTCAGTGGCAGAGCACCTGCCTCAAAAGCACAAGGTGCTGAGTTCAATCCCTGGTACCACAAAAAAAAAAAAAAAAGGAAACTTACAGCCAGAAAAAGGATATACATGCACCTTTCAACAGCTTTTTTGTTTGTTTTTTGAGACAAGGTCTCACAATGTAGTCCAGCCTGGCCTTGAACTCACTTATGGAGTCCAGGCTGGCCTCAAACTTAGCACAATCCTCCTGCCTCAGCATCCCAAGTGCTGGGATTGCAGGTATGTGCTACCACACCCGGCTTCAACAGCTGCTTTTACCCGCATACAATTGTGTAACTATAAAGAATTCCTAAACTTGAGGTTGGTTACCATGAAGAGCTCTAAGGCCCTAGATTTTATTATTAGAAGTACCATTAATTTTTTAAGCTAAAATATATATCACTGTTTGAAAAATACATGTAACTCTGGAGGCTTTGCAGTATTCATGTGCTAGAAGAGCTCAGTAGAGAAGACTTAAATGAAACTGTGACTTCTCTTACCTACTGTGTTAAGGCTCAGGTCTGCTTGTTCTGATGTGTCTTGCAGTTTGAAAGGGTGACTTGCTTACCTGGTACACAGACAAGATCTTGCCGGTTAGTACAGCCTTACTTAGTCACTGTATTCTACAGTACGTGTCACGTACTCAGAAACTTAACAGTTAACCTGCCAAGTGGTGATCAACCGTGAAGAACTTATCCCAAACTCTCAAAGGACAGAACCCTCACATTTTGTTGTACAGGTACATTCTGTCCTTGTAGATACATCTGCATGAGACGCAAAATCATAAATCAGAATCCGGCTCACTGGGTGGGAAATGGGATCGGCAAAACTTGGCCAGCCAGTCTTGAAGCCGGTGGCCTTAAGCAGAGAAGAATATGGCATCTCCGGTTCTTGTCCTGTGGAAGTCACCAGACGTGCTGTTGGTGTTTGCCCTTCGCTTCCCCATTTCCAGATTTCACTTCCAGTCAGTGTTCTTCGTGATCATTTCCTTGTCTCCTTGAGCATCAGCATCAGCATCAGCACCAATGCTTGATCTGGTGGCCATTCTGTGTGCCTCAAAAGGCCTCCAAAGAGCCTGCTCTAATTCCTTGTGTTTATTATTTTTTTTCCCCATTTCACTATCACAAGGAAGTCTTCCAGGTCCAAAGACAGATAAACACGTAAGGAAGTACACTGACAGATTGGTAGGCAGACAGATAAAAAACTGTCCAAAGACTATAGATTTACTTTACAGTATTCAAGTATTCAATACTGTATTTTATACTATGCAAGTATTCAACAACCTAAGAACTGTGTTAAGTGGTTCTTATCTATTATGTCTGCTGGAGGATTTGAATAACCAATCCTAATGCTATTGGTGGTCTGAATTGTTTTTTGGTTTTGTTTTTGTTTTTTTTTTTTCATTGAAGACCAAGAATGACCCAAAAGAAATCAAAGCTTTGTTGCAGAGCCAATGTGTATACGCAAGTGCCTGACGGAGGATGGGGTTGGGCGGTCGCTGTTTCTTTTTTCTTCGTTGAAGTCTTCACATATGGCATCATCAAGTCATTCGGTGTCTTCTTTAACGACTTAATGGACAGTTTTGATCAATCCAACAGCAAGATCTCATGGATAGTGTCGATATGTGTGTTCGTCTTGACATTTACAGGTGAGTACATCTCCCGCCTAAGCACTGCATAAGCACCTGCCCCTGGTACATACCTAATGGTACTTGCTATGTCTGGGATGCATTCCCTTACAGGTCCTCTTGAGTTCTTCTTTTTTATTTGTTTACTGTATTTTTTTTTATGTCTTTTTGAGACAGGGTCTAGCTGTGTGGTTCAGGCTGGCCTTGAGCTCACTTTGTAGCCCAGGCTGGTCTCAAACTCGCAATGATCCTCCTGCCTCAGCCTCCCGAGTGCTGGGATTATAGGCGTGCGCCACCATGCCTGGCTTCACATTCCTCTTGAGGTCCTCTTGACTCTCAGTTAAATGATAGTTTTCAGAGTTGGAAATTGGCCAGAAACGGAAGGCACTGAAAAAAAGCCATACTTGCCAACTTTGCCTGCCTCCTGCTGAATACGCTGTGTTCTATCCACGGCCGGCACACTCTTAGGAGTCCCTAGAGCCATTTGAGCATAGCAGTCAACCCCGGTTATATGAGCAAGTAGTGACTGTCCAACAAAGAAGTGACATCAGAAAGTACTTGGCTTATTAGGTCCTAGTCTTATAAAAGCATGCTTAGAAAACAGGTTAGAAACGTATAAACGTGGATGCATGAAGAAGAAAGACAGGATGTGTAAAGGATATACACAGCCTTCCATATCCAAGGGGTCCTTGCCCAGTAGAATTTCAACCAGCTGCAGATTGAAAATTTACAGAAGTTGAACACGATCAGCTCCAAATTCCCTCTCGGACATTCATCTAGCACTGCTGCCGACAGGCACTGTGTAGATGGCCGTTCCTGCAGTAAACATGTCCAGACTTCGTGTCATTTTCCCTAACAAGCGCGTTGTGTTATTATTATTATTGTATTAAGCGCATTATATTAGGTACTATCAGTAGTCAAGAGATGACTGACAGCATATAGGATGTGCCTCGGTTAATATGCAAAACATGCTAAGCAGGGACTTGAGAATCTGTGGACTGCGTCATTCTCAGGAGTTGCCAGAAACAATCCCCGGAGGACACTGATGGAAAAGTGTAATGCAAGAGTACAGATACTGTCCGGAGGACAGCCCGCATTCCAGACACCTAACTCCCTGAGGGCCTGAACTGACTCTCAGCGTACAATACTCACAGATCCAACTGCATAAAACAGGGGTTTAGCATCATTCTTAACATACTAGTATTCACTTGGTCCTGTATGCTTGATGGTCTCACACATTCATCTGTCTATCAGCGGCAATGGCAAGGTTTTCCTGAGAGAACAAAGCTGTGAACTCAGTTTAGAAATACAGCCCCCCGACCAAAAAAAAAAAAACAAAACAAAAAACCAGGCAGGCTACGCTGGTGTTGTGGCCCGTTCCTGTAATCCCAGCACTGTGGGAGGCTGAGGCAGGAGGATCATGAGTTCAAGCCCAACCTGAGCAATTTAATGACGTATTTCAGACCCTGTCTCAAAATAATAAAAGAAGAGCTGGGGACATAGTTCAATACCCAGAATCACACCCCCCCAAAAAAGTCCTTGAGCTGATGTTAAACTGCCCTAACTTAACCCCAATATCCTATCATGCAACTATTACTTCTGAAGTTAAGAAGGTAATTCTCAATGACACTATTCTAATTTTTAAGGCTTTGAGCCAACATACTGATTGGCTCAAAATTATGACAGTGGTTTCATTATTAGCTATATTCAATATAAGTTGGGATTCTAATAATTACAATGAAATGTGCATATGGGCTAACTCCAACAAAACTGAATCCTTTTTTTTAAACAAACAAACTGAATCCTTTTTAACGCCATCCTTTCTACGCAGCTTCTATCCTATCTTTGAATCAGCTCTCCCTGGTTCATTCAGCTCCATGTGTTCAAGTCAGTATTAACTAATGTAAAACTAGGAAGCTCATGCACTGGATTTAAATGCATCAGCATTTAAGGTATATAGAAGCGGTAAGGTATATAGAAGCCAAGCAAATTATGATTCATCAGCCTGTTTGAATCATCGGTCATACAGCTGTCTTCTTTTAGGTCTGCCTACCTGAAAATTTACTTATATCATTTTCAGAGAAGTCAAAACTAATAGAATTTGACCCTGTTTGGAGCTTAAAAAATAAGAGAGAGAGAATCCAAAGCAGTATGTACAGGGGGAAAAAGATTCAAGCAGCTATAGGAAAACCAATTTTTATTACAGAGTAACATAAATACATATCTAATTTTATAGCTCCTCATAGTGAGCCAAGATCTTAAAATCTAAAACTATAGATAATGTAGACAGGAGCTTTACACTCTTGTTGCTCTGGCTCTCTCAGAGTTCTTGGTGCTGGAGACTGAACCCAGACTCTTGTAGATGCTAGGTAAACTCTACCACTAAGATACGCCCCTAAACCTTGGCTTTCTTTTTTTTTTTTTTTTTTTTTGAGACAGGGTCTGGCTATGCAGTTCAGGCTGGCCTTGAGCTCACTCTGTAGCCCAGGCTGGTCTCAAACTCACAATGATCCTCCTGCCTCAGCCTCCTGAGTGCTGGGATTACAGGCGTTCGCCGCCACCACGCCCGGCTCACTGAAATAATTTCTAAGCAGACATCAGTAGCCATTGCGTGAAATGTAATACATACTTAAATCCAGCCGTCCGGGTTCAAGACTGGAAGAAGGGACCCTACTGAAGCCAGCACCAACGCCTCCGAGGTCGCCAGTCAGTCACTGTTTGTCCCTTTGCCTGCAGCTCCCCTCTCCACGGTCCTGAGCAATCGCTTCGGACCTCGCGTGGTGGTGATGGCTGGGGGGCTGCTGGTCAGCACCGGGATGGTGGCAGCCTCCTTCTCACAGACGGTTTACCACATGTACATCTCCATCGGGATCGTCTCGGGTAAGCCCCCCTCGCTGGCCCAGGGTGCTCTACATACTTGGCTTGAAGAACAGCAATGAGGAGGGAAGGAATTAAACCCAAGTTACACTTTTTCTCTTTAAAATGAACAAGGTCTGAGATCAGAGGTCTTGAACTGGGCAGTGTAAAACCTCAGGGGAGATGGAACATATTCTCAAGTGCCCATGAGATTTTGATTTCTTAAAAAAGTATTTACCAATTATGAAGATAACTTCTCTTTTGCTCTAGTTTGCAGCCAGAAACCCACCACCATAACAAAGTAAGACTTGGTTTCTTTAGCCAGTATTTCTGAGATAAGGGTCTGATGTCCCAGGGCGGTAAAGGGGTACAGTGTGCTGGACTTATTTTTGGGAAGACTAAGACAACATTTTCCCTTTCCTTTTTTCCTGCACTGCTGGCTTTTGAACCCCGGGCTTCATGCCTGCTAGGCAAGTACGTGTTATTTTGTCTCTTTAAAAGGAGTCCACACATACGGACTCATGGACAACACACATATGTTCATTAAATTTGCGTGCTGGAGACCAAACCCAGGGCCTTGTGCATGCAAGACAAGTGCCCTACCACTGAGCTACCTCTCCAGCCTCCCCTCTCCTTTTTAAAATTTTGAGATAGGGTCTCAATAACTTGCCCAGGCTGCCTTCACATTTGCAGATCCCATTTCAGCCTGCCGAGCAGGTGGGATTATAGGTGTGCACCACCACCTCTGGCAAATACATGTCTTATATAAAAACTATACTCAGAGCCGAGCATGGTGGCACATGCTTATAATCCCAGCACTTGGGAGGCTGAGGCAGGAGGATCATTGTGAGTTCAAGGCCAGCCTGAACTACATAGAAAGACCATGTCTCAAAATTTAAAAAAAAACTATATTCAGTAATATATTTGTCCATTGTAAATTCTATACACTTGAAGAAATGCAGAGCAGTGAAAAACAAAACGGAAAACAGTTTTTATGCTCCTGGTGTCCTAAAACATTCTTGCACCTTAGCTAGACCTTTGACAAAACCCATTTTTCTTTGCTACATTACCTTTCTCCATGGTGAGTTACTTGGCTCCTAAACACAAAACCCCTCCATCTCTGAATGTGCCCTTCCGGCATCCGTCAGTGTGTGGTTCTAAGTCTTCCCTTTGACTTCTGCCCACAGGTTTGGGATACTGCTTTAGTTTCCTCCCGACTGTCACCATCCTATCCCAGTACTTTGACAAAAGACGCTCGGTGATCACTGCGGTCGCTTCCACGGGAGAGTGCTTTGCTGTGTTTGCCTTTGCACCAGGTGGGTGGACAGCAGCAGCCCCCAGATCGGTGTGGAACAGGGGAGGCTGCTCTGGCTACGCGTCTGCCAGCAAGTAGATGACTTTCAGTGTGTGCACCACGAAAGGCTATTTGCTGTCTCTTCTCCAGCACGCTTTCAGGATAGATGCTTCCGACCCCTATTTTAGGAATTCAAACCGTTTCAGTCTAGTCCAAGTTTACACACCTAGGAAGATACGGGAGGCTACTCAGTGGCGAGACTTCCTTGGATTTGAATTATGATAATAATGTCAGTTCTAGTATGTTTGTTTGGGTAATCTCACAGCACAGTGGTTATCCCTGGTGTATCCCCTTAACTCATGTGAATATATGAATGACAAGCAAACTGGAGTAGGAGACAGGTAACCGTGGAGACCCAAATTCTTTTGTTCGCCACCATATCTTGATGAATGTGTCAGTGGACTGCATTTTGTTCACAGGAGAAATAGGTAGGTATTTAGCAGCAGCGTAGCAATGCCAGAAGGAGCTCACATGGCTCGGAAAATTGACTCTGCGTATAAACGAACAGAGAGAAGCAGACGGGCAGAGGCAAGAAACACGTTTGTTCTGGCTTTTTGCAGTACTGGGAACTGGACCCTACCCTTTTTATTTTGAGACAGAGCCTCCCTGAGTCACTCAATTGCCCACTCTGGACCCTAACTTGTGATCCTCCTCTCTCGGCCTCTCAGAGAGCTGGGACAATAGGCATGGGCCGTCACACCCAACTTGAGAAGGTTCTCCATGATCTGTGGGGCCTGCATTACCCCATGAGAGAGCTTTATGGTCTCTTTGGCCACATCCTGGGTCCACGTCTCCCTCAGCCGCCTCTGGTCTGCGGCTTCGGCCCCAATTTAATAGCAGTAAGAGGGAGGCTGTTAAGTCCATCCTTCAGGGAGAAACTGGAGGGAACTGTATCATTTAATTCCAGGATACTCACAGCTTTTAGAGTCTGAGTTCATTTTTTATTTAATTCATTATTCATTGGGACGGAACGAGTGGCCGTAGAACGGCACCGCTCATAGGCTGGTAAATTATTTTTGTAAAAGGCCAGGTAGCAAATAATTTAGGCTTTGTAGATTGCATAGTCTCCATCACAACTACTCAGTTCTGACGTCACGGCCCAGAAGCATTCAGAGACTGTGTAGTGAGTGCACATGGCTGGGTCCTATTCAGCTTTATTAACAAACAGGCAGCAGATCAAATCTGGCTTGTGGGCCCTTGTCCATGAAACCTTGGCGTAGGTCACAAACTTCAGTTCTTACGCTTCTCTCTGCAAAATGCCTCCTCCAAAGCTCTTCTGGAGAGGTGAGGCAAAAACTGTCTGTTTATTTGTTTGTTTTTTTTTTTTTTCCGGTACCGGAATCGAACTCACGACCTTGCACTTGCAAGGCAGGCGCTGTGCCACTAAGCTAAACCCCCAGCCCCCAAAAACTGTCTGTTTTGCCGGGTGTGGTGGCGCACACCTGTAATCCTGGCACTTGGGAGGCTGAGGCAGGAGGATCGGTGCAAGTTCGAGACCAGCCTGGGCTACAAAGTGAGCTCAAGGCCAGCCTGAACTGCATAGCGAGACCCTGTCTCAAAAAGACAAAAAAAAACTGTTTTAAAAATAGTAATTATTGTGTACATTTACTCCTTATTAATTCATAACATGCACCAAGATCTAGAATAAAGGGTAGTCTGGAATGGTAGCACTTGCACTGTTGAATAAATTTTTACAAAAACTATTTCTAAATCTGCATGCACATGTTTTCTGGATATTGACTCCTGGGTCTGGAGTTCAAAACTAACCTTGGACTTTTTTCTCCACCCCCCGCCACCTGTTCAAGTCATCACAGCTCTCAAGGAGCAGATCGGCTGGAGATACAGCCTGCTGTTCGTGGGCCTGCTGCAGCTAAACATTGTCGTCTGTGGGGCCTTGCTGAGACCAATTATTATCAGAGCACCAGAGTCACCGAAAACGGTCACCCACGAAAACCGCAAAGAAGTGCAATACATGCTTGAAAACGAGAAAACGCGAACCTCACTAGACTCCATTGACTCAGGAGTAGAACTAACTACCTCACCGAAAAATGTGCCTAGCCACGCTAACGCGGAGCTGGAGCCCAGGGCCGACCAGCAGATCCTGGGGCGGGCCGGCTCCACGCACAGCGAGAAGAAAGTCCCGTTGTTAGACTTCTCCGTTTTGAAAGAGCAGAGTTTTATCTGTTATGCACTCTTTGGTCTGTTCGCCACACTGGGGTTCTTTGCACCTTCCTTGTACATCATTCCTTTGGGCGTCAGTCTGGGCATTGACCCTGATCGCGCTGCTTTCTTACTGTCCACAATGGCAATCGCTGAAGTTTTTGGAAGAATCGGAGCTGGTTTCATCCTCAACCGGGAGCCCATCCGTAAGATCTACATTGAGCTCATCTGCGTCGTCTTACTGACCGTGTCTCTGTTCGCCTTCACTTTTGCTACTGAATTCTGGGGTCTCATGTCGTGTAGCATATTTTTTGGGGTTATGGTCGGAACAATAGGGGGGAGCCACATTCCACTGCTCGCGGAGGATGACGTGGTGGGAATTGAGAAGATGTCCTCGGCAGCCGGCGTCTACGTCTTCATCCAGAGCATAGCAGGGCTGGCAGGACCACCCCTGGCAGGTAATGTAAACACGCAGCATCCAAACCCCGACCTGCATCCCTAGTGTCCTGTTCAAGTGTAATCGAAAGACCTGCCTCTGCTTTTATACTTCCATTGGGATTTAGGGCTGCCGAGAAGCGCAGGTCACCTGAGCCAACCCTCTTGATTTAAATAGGAGGAAACAGAAGGCTCCAAGCTAACAGCCATAGCGTAATGAGCGGCCAAGCCGGATCAGAACCTGTGTCTCCAGGTTCCAGTTGCCTCAGGCTTTTTTTATTCTTTTTTTGCAGACGGCCGGCTTTGTAGTTTAGGCCTTGTACTTGCAGCTTGAAGCATCCTCCTGCCTTAGGCTCCCAAGTGCTGGGATTACAGGCATGCACCATCATACTCTGCTCCCAGGCCTTTTCTATCATCTTCCTTCTCTTTTGCTAGAGAGGAAACCCATGGGTATGTGATCTTTGTCACCCATCTGACTTTGGGGAAGGAATTAAGGGACTTCTGTAAGTCATTTTCCTTTCTTAGGAAAGGTGTTCGGAACTGAGCCCATAGCGGCATTCTGTAAATGCTTACTTGATTTGTACAGAATATGTCTTTGTTAGGGTATAAATCTTAACCCATTAAAAGATACCTGAGGGGCTGGGGATTCAGCTCAGCGGCGAAAGCGCCTGCCTCGCAAGCGCAAGGTCGTGAGTTCGGTTCCTGGTACCGGAGAAAAACCAAAAAAAAAAAAAAACAAAAAGAAAAGATACCTGAAATGAACACAAACAAAATCATATAGCTTCTTCCATTACTTAAAAATACTACCTTTTAAGCTGGGTGTAACGGCACACGCCTATATTTCCAGCTACTTGGGAAGCTGAGGCATAAGGATCGCAAGTTTGAGGCCAGTCTGGGCAACTCAGTGAGACCCTGTCTCAAAATAAAATTTTAACAGAAGGTGGAAATATAGCTCAGTGGTAAAGTGCTTGGCTAGCATATGGGAAGCCCTGGGTTCAGTCCCTAATACCCTAAAAAAAGAATTTTATGTGTTCGGAGAAATACGCATCGAACTGTCCTATATGTTAGGTTCTTTACTAGGGTAGACCAGGAAGAACAAGTCCGCAGCTTCATTTTCTCCGGTGCTAAGTACCGTGCGCTGTGTGTTTACTTCTCTCTAGTGTAGCTGAAATTTCTGCCTTCGATGTTGTGTTTTCTTTTTGTTAAATTTAAAACTTTTTATTTTAAAGGGAAAAAATAATGATACAGAATTTGAAAACAAGACAGTAGGAAATTAAGAATGGTTATTACGTTGCATTTTGTTATCTTCAAAGCAGTTGTTGATATTATAAGATAGAGGCATGCAAAACTGATCAAACCATATAAGCACAAACGGTTCCTTTCAATGAGCAAACAGAAATTAGTAGTATAATTATCTTAGCTATCTTGTAGATGTATTTTTTCTTCTCCTTCTTTTCTCTTCATTCAAACTTAATAACAGAATTCGGGAAAAACAAAGTAAGGAAAGCAGGAAAACCAAGCAGGTTCTAAATGGGGCGGTAACCCCGGGCGAGGGTCCCCGTGCTGTAACGATGTTCACAAGCCAACGCTTTCTCCCAGGTCTGCTGGTGGACCAAAGCAAGATATACAGCAGAGCCTTCTACTCCTGCGCGACTGGCATGACTGTGGCCGCCATGTGCCTCGCCTTGGTGAGACCGTGTAAACAGGGACTGTGCCAGCAGCATCATTCAGGTCAAACACAGCCAGAGAGCCACCGTGGGAAGGCATTACAGGACATACCCGAGGACTTTCTGGAGATGGATCTTGGGAAAACGGATCCTAGAGTCCACGTGACGGTAGAGCCAGTATGACACATTTTCATGCGACCCTGGGGGCGCAGGGGGCAGGGGAGGCAACCACTCAACTCCGCTTTCAAAGCTGCATTTTAAAGGGAATGTACATGTGAACAGCAGCACCAACATCTTTTTTTTTCCGCTATTGTTTTCCTTTTTTGTTTCTGAAGCCAAAACAAAAACCACCATATATAAGTCTGGCTCCGTTCAGTAGCAATACAAAGATACACAGAAGGACTCTTTGGCTCACATTCTACTATTAAAATAGTGACATGAATTAGCAAAGTGGTTTTAGGAGCACACTCACATGTGATAAATTCCCTTTTTAGACTAGAAAATAGCCCAGGTGGCTGAAATAAAAGTGGCCATTCCAAAAACAAAATATCTTGAATCACTGAAAAAAAAATGTATTTTCAGAAATACAAGTTTCTTTTTAAAGAATTTGAAAAATACTGAGGTTCCATTAATAAATTACAGCCTCTGAATTTTCCAAATATTGCATGAGAATGAAGTATACCATAGTCTTAAGGCCAAACGTTTGAGTAATAAGCAGAAAACTTAAAAAAATGTATGTGACTTGAACTTCATAAATGTGAAGATTACCACTTCTTTTTATGGCCAGTCATCACCACAAGTATTTCAATATAAAATATACTAAATTACATTTTAAAAATGTGTTTCCTGTTGCTTTTAGTTATTCAGAACTATGTGATTGTAGTGTCCTTAATTTAAAGAACTATTTATTATTAAGTTATTCTAGGGTAACTGAAGTAATCAAAAGAAATGAAAAGTAACCTGAGACATATATGGCATTTTTACCTCCTCCTTGCAATCTTTTAAATGCCTCAAAGAATAGTTCTTCTCTCGTAAAAGGCCAATTTGTGATGATCACTCAGTCTGATGAAGGGCCATGTGTGCTACTTAAAGGGTAGGAAAATAATGGATAGCAAATCGCCTTAGCTTTTCAAAAGATAATTTGTTTATTAGCTAAGTATACTTGAGGATCTTATCTGATCAAAATTATATTTTGTTGCATTGTTGAAGCATTTCTGATTTTTTTAAAAAAATCTGAACTGTTGAAGTATTTCTGTATTTTATTTGGGGGTAGCAAAGACATAGTACCATCACAGCTTACAAGTTGCAGTTTGCATCTGACGTAGAACTTGACTTGATCTACGTTGCCGTAGGTATCGGGAACTGGTCGTTGTTTTGGAGTTATGCTCTATGTTTAATATTTCTCATTTTAGCAGTTTTCTGTAAAGAGGATACGAGGTGAGTTGTTTCCTCACTTATTTTACTGAATCTCACCTTACAGGTGATGGTCCATGGTCGCTGCTCCATTTAATTCACATTTACTGTTAATTTATGACAACTCAGGGGGACAATATAACAAGCCTAGTTTGGTTCCAGGTAAACACAAGCTTGAATATTTCTCTGCACTGAAAGGAAAGTGGCATAGTTCATCACCACCGGCTACATCTTGTATAGCATTTTATCAGCCATAGGAATAGGACAATCTGTAAAACCCTGGCGAAGGTGCAGGAGGAAGCGAAGTGTCTGTCTAAAACAGATGCACCTGAAACAAGCGAGGTGGACGTAGCAAATCTCTGTCGCTGCTTGAGGAAAGCCTTGAGCAGCGGCAGCTTTGCGTACTTACACAACTTCAGCACTTTACAGCATATTTTGTACTATGAACGTTCAATGCAATTTAATATTTATAACTGATTTCTGAGAGATCTGCTCTATGTCCATTCTGTTAACTGCATGAGAAAAAAAAAGTATGCCAATTTCAGTATGTCAATCAATAATCAAGGTTTTCAATGTTTGGAGGAAAATAAAAGCAAGATTGCTGATTTGTTCTGTGTTAGTGACATTCGGGTACTTCTAGATTTGCAATAAATTTATGGCTTTTTATATAAAGAGACTTATGTTTGTCTGTGGTGAAGTTTTTTTATTCACTTGCAGCATTCATTCTCTGATCCAATTAAACGTACGAACACTCCGGTAAATTCATTTTACATAAATACTTTTTAAACTTTTTCCGCAATATCTGTTTAGCTCTACTCCCGACATACACTTTCTCTGAGTTACTACTGAACTTGTCACTGAGGACAGGACACGATCACATTCAGCCCTTCTGTCTTACATTCTCCTGACTTACGTTCACTGAGACAAAACACCAGTACTCACAGCTTACGGGAAGAAAGCTTTATCTTGGCTCGAGGTTTACAGAGGGTTCCGTTCATGGTTGGCTGGTTCCAAGGCAGGGTGGCATGGCGGAAGGATCTGGCAAAGAAACGCTCTTCCCCTGGTGTCAGCCAGGAAGCAAAGAAAAAAAAAGGAGGAGCCACAGAGGGAGATAAACCCTTCAGGGCTAACCTCGCAGTGACTCCGTGTCCTCTGACCAGACCTCACCTCACAGCACGCCAGCCACACTGCTCCTATCAGTGTAGGAGTCATGAGGCTTTGAGGGGCCATCAAGATACAAACCATAACACCTTCCTACAAATTACTGAAAGCACCTTAGAAAATAACTACATAATTTAAGGGAAGTATTAATAATAGAAAACAGGAGAGGGAAATACAAATTTAACAGTATAGTCAAGTGAAGGAGAATACTTTCAACTAAGCAGTGACCTGAGAATACAAGAAGTGGTTGAACTTAATTATTTCTTAATGAAAAGTAACATCCATGAAGTGATATGGAAGCCACAGAGGAAGCCTACGGAGAGTAGGAAGGACAAAAAGTTAAGGCTACTGTTAAGGTTTGATTTTAAATGACCCCAAAGGCCCTGTGTTGAAGTCTTGGCTGTGGCCCCACTAGGAGATGATGGAATCTTTGAGAGGCATTTGGGGGTGCCCTTCCATGGTACACTGGGCCCTACCTCCCGTCTTCTCTCTTTGCTTCCTGACCATGAGATGAGCAATTCTGCTCCATCAGGTGCTCCTGGCTGCCATGTTCTGCCTTGCCACAGGCCCAAGGCCACATGGCCAGGTGATCATGGACAGAAACCAAGAACCAAAACAATCCATCTCTCCACCTTTTAAAACTCCTATCTCAGGCATTTTGTCACCATGAGGGAACGTTAACTAACACAACTATCTAAATTCAGTTATCGAATAGTCCTACAAATTTTCCTAACCTCTAAGTAAACAGCACAGACTCCAGGCCAGGGGTGGGCAAGCTTTTTCTATAAAGGTGCAAAGAGTAAATGTGGAAGGTTTTACAGGTCATGAGGTCACTGTGGAAACGATTCATCTCTGCCATTACAGGTCAAAAGCAGCCATATATAATATGTACGTGAACAGGCATGCCTATGTTCCAGTAAAATTTTACTATGGATGCTAAAATTTAAATGGTATAGCTGGATCCAGGCGTGGTGGTGCACGCCTGTAATCCCAGCACTCAGGAGGCTGAGGCAGGAGGATTGCTGTGAGTTCGAGGCCAGCCTGGGCTACATAGTGAGCTCAAAGCAAGCTTGACCTGGATAGCACAACCCTGTCTCAAAAATACACACACAAATACACACACAAATAAATTGTATAGCTGGGCATGGTGGTGCACGCCTATAATCCCAGCATTCAGAAGGCTGAGGCAAGAGGATTGTTGTGAGTTCAAGGGCAGCCTGGGCTACATAGTGAGCTCAAGGCCAGCTTGAACTGGACAGCAAGACCCTGTCTCAAACACACACACACACACACACACACAAATAAATTGTATAGCTGGGCATGGTGGTGCACGCCTATAATGCCAGCGCTCGGGAGGCTAAGGCAGGAGGATTGCTGTGAGTTTGAGGCCAGCCTTGGCTACATAGTGAGTTCAAGTCCAGCCTAAACTTCACAGCAAGACCCTGTCTCAAAAAAAAAAAAAAAAACAAAAAAGTATAAACATTATTACACATTAAATACTCTTCTGGTTTTTTTTTTTTTTAAATTACATGAAAATGTTAAAGCCATTGTTAGCTTGAATACAATTTTTAAAATGGGTGGTAGACCAGCTTTGGCCTGTGGACCACAGTTTCTGGCCCCTGTTCCACCTGTCTGCAGCTCTGGAAAGGGTCTGTACTACAACTCTGGAAAGTGCATACTGATATGAAAGTAGAGTTATGGTCCAAGTCACTCTTAGATCATAGCTGCCAAAGACAGGAATGATCAGACAGGAAATAGCACATTTACTTATTTTATTTTTATTTTAGTTGGTGGTTATTGCATTACTGGAGATTGAACCCAGGGCCTTCACACTTAGCTACATGTCCAGGCTTGTTGTTGTTTTTTTTCCACTTACTTTCTTCTTTTTTTTTTTTTTTGTGACAAAGTATCACTAAGTGTCCAGGCTGAGCTCAAATCTGTGATACTCCTGCCCAGCCTCCCAGAGTGCTGGAATTACAGGCATATGCTATCACACCCAGATAGTTGTTAATTAATTAACAGTTTTTATTTTTTTATTTTTTTTGGTTTTTTTCCCGGTACCAGGAATTGAACTCACGACCTTGCACTTGCCAGGCAGGCGCTGTGCCGCTGAGCTAAATCCCCAGCCCCCTTTTTTACTTTTTATAATGAAAGAGATTCTACTTTAACTGAACGTGGTGGTGCATGCCTGTAATCCCAGCACTGGGGAAGCTGAGGCAGGAGGATCACAGCAAGTTCGAGGCCAGCCTGAACTGCATAGTGAAACCCTGTCTAAAAAAAAAATAATAAAATAATAATAATAATAATAATAATAATAATAATAATAATAATGTTTTGTTTGGGTATGGATGTAGGTTACTTCCATCCCCTAAAGTACAATTATTCCAGTTTTTAAAATGAGCTAAAGGCTGGGGATGGTGATGCTCACCTGTAACCCCAGCATTCAGGAGGTGAGACAGGAGGATTGCCACAAGTTCACGGCCAGCCTAGGCTACATAGTGAGTTCAAAGCCAGCCTGGACTATATAGTGAAAATCTGTCTCAAAAAGAAAAACCAAAAATAAATAAATTAATTAATTTTTAAAAATAAAAAATTTAAGATCATAGCCCTTTTAAGACAAATGTATCCTTAATTGATTCAGTGTTTCTAACCCTTTTCACAACGTTATCAAATTTTATACTCCAATAATGTTTAATGTAACCAGGTCTGGTGGTGCACAATTTTAATCTCACCACTCAAGAATCTGAGGCAGAAGCACTGCCACAAATTCAAGGCCAGCCTGGGCTAGCATAGTAAGTTCAGGGCCAGCATGGAATACACAGCAAGACCCTTTCTCAAAAAACAAACAAAAATGTAACGTAGCTTTTACGCACTTATTTGCTTTTCTTTGAGCTTAATAACAGATGATAAAAATGCATTGACTTTCTTTTTCTTTTTCTTTCTTTCTTTTTCTTTCTTTCTTTCTTTCTTTCTTTCTTTCTTTCTTTCTTTTCTCCCTTCCTTTATTTCTCTTCCTTCCTTCCTTCCTTCTTTTCCTCTTTCATTTTTGTGCTACTAGGGATTAACCTTCCCACTGAACTACATCCCCAGCATCTTTTTAGAGACCAAAAAAGTTGCTAAATTGCTCCCGCTGGACGCAAACTTTCAATCCTCCTGCCCCAGCCTCCCAGAGTGCTAGGATTACAGACACGTACCACTACATTCATCTGGGAAATACATTCTAAGTCTGGGTTTCAACGATCCAAATTCAAGTCACCTAGAAGTATTTATTACATTTAGATTTCCATACTCCACTCCAAATATTCTGTCAAAATTATCATGATCCTTGTATCCCCCCCATATCCAGACATGGGATTCACTAGTAAGGATCTAGAGTTTAGAAGCCATTGCATTTAAAATTTTAAATGGTTATGAGCATTACTTAAAACAGCCAATGTAAAGACAATTTGGATGTAGTACATTCTCAGTGACCACACCTATAAGTATACTTTGCATTGAGGGAAGAGAAGCACACCTTGTCTTCAGATCTATCCTTAATACAGATGTGTGTCCTAAAATTGGATAACCACATCCCTTAGGTGGGCCATGCACAGAGGCATAAGAAAGGAAACTAGGTCCCCCTGGCGTTCAGTTTCGATAATTACTCTACAGGCACAGGACAAGGAAGGGTGCCACGAGAACTCGCACCTTTGCTTTTCACACGAACACTCAGACCCAAATCAAAATGACCTCAGCGCCTATGGACCCTGGCAGAGAAATTGGACAGGAAGCCGGATGCTCCAAAAACACTGCTTACTGGGAGAAAATACACATTGTGGTCACATGTTTAGATCATTTATGCCTTTCCAATAACTCAAGAAAACAACCACGCGGGCTCCCCTAGCAGCTCTCTCCCCTAGAATTCAACCAGAACTTTAAGAAACTCCTCTGTGGTGACACACAACTGTTATCTCAGAAGTCTGGGAGGCTGAAGCAGGAGGATCTCAAGTTCAAGCACAGCCTGGGCAACATAACACCTTACTGAGATCCTGTCTCTAAATTTAAAAAGAAAAAAAATTAAGGGCTGGAAATACCGTTCGGCATGAAATTCCTGGGTTCAGTCCCCAGTACAGCGATACACCTCCTCTGCACGGATGCCCGTTCGGTCTTAGTCCCAACTTTGCCCCTGAGCTCTCCGGCCTTGAAAATGCCCATGTGCAGCAGGTAGAGGTCAACCAGGCATCTCCAGCATGAAATGTCCTCAGAGGAACTCTGGCCTCTGCTCCAACCCACAAGTGCTATCAACTCTCCTTTCTAAATATATCCAGAACCCAAGAGCTTTGGCCAGCTCCACCTTACCCTGCTCCAAGCCTGTATCATCTTAACTGGATTATTACAATAATCGTCCAGCTTGTCTGCCTGCTTCCACTCCTGCTACACACCATGCCTCCTTCACTCCCCGCACAGCACCGGGGATGGTTTTCTGGCACAAAACAGACAGAAATCCTTAGCGATGGACCCGAGCGAACGGCCAGATGCTGTTACTTTTCCCTTGCTCCAGCTACACTGGCCTCCCTGGTGATCTTACCGTTCCCTGGTTCGTTCTTCCTGCCCTAAGGCATGGGTCTCATCTCTTTGCGGACACCTCCTTCCCCTAGATGTGGAGATGGTGTGACCTTTTCACTTGGTCACTTCCAAATATCACTGCCTGTGGAAGACCAAAGAGACTGTCCTATCCAAGATAGTAAGATTTTTTTCTCTGTTTTTTTTTGCGGGGGTGGGGGGCAGGCACTGGGGATCAAACACGAGGACCATCTACCACTGAGCTACAGCCCCAGACTTTTTTAATATTTGTTTGAGGCAGGTTCCTGCTAAGTCGCCTTAAGGGCACTTCCCATCCTGCCTCAGCCTCCCTCCGTGCTGGCGTAAGGAGTGTGTATCACCACACCCAGCTCCAAATTCTTTACTCTGACGTTATGTTAGAAAAGCATTTGCTTGCTCCTTGATTATTTGCTTGCCTCTTGCACTGGTATATTCAGACGGTGAAGTTTTGTTCACTCCTGTTACACCCCAAAGTGTTGGGCAGGGCCTAGCGCTAGTAAGTGGTACTGCATACATAGTATCGAACATGTGAATGAATGAATGAATGAGTGCATTACTTCTCACCATCCCCTCCCTTACCTAAGAGGAAAAACAAAAGCATCTGTTCACCAACGGGGCTGAAAAGACTGGGTCTGCTGTAAACTAGGAGATGGTACTAACGGCTCCAAATCTGTGTCAGGGCCTGTGGGCCCCAGGTCTCAGAGAGGCCAGCAGGAGTCTCCACTACGACGGTGTCAGCTCTCAGGACAAAATCTAACCTGTGAAAAGAGACTGAACAAAACGGAGGGAAGAAGGTAACACAGGGCCAAGTACGGGAATAAGGGCTGTGAGTTTTAACACCTTGCCCAGACAGATTTTGTTTTAACTTCACCTTTTCCCAGTAGCCCTTTTAAAAACATTTTTATCTGTAATGGACACATAGTAATTGTACATATTTATGGGATACAACTTATCACCCCAGCCATTTATCATTTCTTTTTGTGGAGAACCGTCAAAACCCTGCCACTAGCTATTCTGAAATTACGGCTGTTTTTGTTTTCGTTTTACAGGGCTAGGAGTCGAACTCAGGCCTCAGGCATCAAGGCCAAGCACTCTACCACGGAGCTACACCCCTAACCCATGAGTGCTATTTTTTTCCACGGTGCATTTTTAAATCCCTCAACCGATAGCAGGTACTTTTCTGAATATTGTACCTCTCTTTTTTTTTTTTTTTCCTCTCCCATCATCCCACCTCTGTACCCCCACTTCACAAGAAAAGAAATTGAAAGTTTAATCTCATAAGCCCTTTTATAAACAGTATGAACAAAGTGGATTGGTTTCCAGCTGGGTCATTCCACAAGCTCGTGTAACATAGTAAAAAACAGTGCAGAACCGGACATTGGAACAAGTGAGACTGGATCTTAAATCTGCCGCTGGTTTAACTACACACAAGCTTAGCTGGCCAGGGCTTGCTTGCGCATCTGCAAATGAATGGAACTATTTCCATACTATTACCACTTTATAACTTTGCTTTCCAAACATGAAAATGCATCTAAAGGAAATAGCTCTGGCCCTTGCAATGAGGGGGAAAGTTTAAAAAAAAATCTGTAACAGGGAAGAACAGTAGGATGGAAAACCCGATCAACGTCGATTTCAGAGGCCCTTGTGCCTGCACGTCCCTTTTCTTGAACAAGCCTCTCTCCTCTCCGCTGAATTTCAGGGACACATCTTCCCAGGCAGACTAGAGACTGGTAGTAATCTAGAGCTGCACTCTCCAGCAGACAAGTCACAAGCCACACTGGGCTGAGCACCTGAAATATGGTCAGTCCAAAGACAGATGGGCTATGTGAAATACACACCGGTCTTAAAAGAACTGATATTAAAAATTAATATAAATTATTTCAATATTTGTATTGAATACATGTTGAAATAATATTTTGTTTTTGTCTTTTTGAGACAGGGTCTTGCTGCGCAGTTCAAACTGGCCTTAAACTCACAATGTAGCGCAGGCTGCCTTCTAACACCCAGCGATCCTCCTGCCTCAGCCTCCAGAGTGCTGGGATTACAGGTGTGCGCCACCACGCCTGGCTTGAAATAATGTTTTTGGTGCATTCTAGTTAATCAAATATGCGATTGAAATTAATTCTACCTGCCTTTTGCATTTGCTAATGAGGCTACTGGAAAAGTTAGAACTGCCCCACGTGGCTTGTCTTACATTTCTACTGGACAGTGTTGCGCTAGATTTTAGATATCAGAATCTAGAAAGTAAGATTCAAACTTTCAAACGACGCACTTCGTAAATGCTGTAGGGAGAACTGGTTGCACTCACACTGCTCGGCGGCCATCGCCATCCTGATTTTCAAGGCCGTGCTCACAGCACGCACACGAGGCTGTCGCCCACGCCTCCCCAAGGCTGGCAGCGCAGGAGGCTGCCGTGGGGGAGGCTGCGCTTGGTCCCCGGCCCGGGCCGAGCTGCAGACGAGCCCGCCGGGGAAGTCCCGGGGCGGAAACAGGTGGCGCGCCAGCTGCCGGCAGCTGCAGGTCCCGCGAGCCCGCACCCGGGCAGCGACGCGCTTCCTGGTCCCGGAAGGCCCGCGCGCAGGGCCAGCTATAGCAGTCTCGCCGCTGCCTGCTCGGATTTTCGCATTTTGGCTCCGGAAAGCAAGCTGTCCCGCGGTCTGTTCCCTGCAGCGGTTGAAATTTTAAAAAGCACCGCTGTCAGGGGAACTTAGCATCAGAAAGCAGGCGGGACACAAAGACGGACAACCGCTGCCCAGTCCTGTTGAACCCTCTCCACTAGGAGTTTTTGTGCACTGACATGTCAAACCTCGTCTTGAGAGATGCTACGAATTCGGCAAAAGCTGAGGAAGGAGACCCTGGCACACAGGGGCGGCATTTCAAAGTCACATAGTTTTAAGGTGACGCGTAGACCCCAGACAATCACTCTCCTTACCAATTCACTGTCTCATTCATTCAGGGTTTGCAGGAATTTGCTTGGATTTGTGGTCAGGGAAATCGTTTCTAAAAACTAAGGATTTCACTACAGTGGATAAAATTTAGTTGCAGTAGACAAGTTGCATTTTTAACATAACCCTAAGAAGACAATTACTTAAAATTGCAAGGTAAATGCTCATTACATAGTGTAGTACACAAAGGTTTAGCCCAATTTTTAAGAAGTGATTTGCACAGATGAACTCTGTATCTAGCTAAATAACTGTAACTCTGATTTACTGACCTAGGCATACCTGAGTCCTCCTAGGTTTTTATTTTTTTTATTTTTTTTGGTACCGGGAATCAAACTCAGGACCTTGCGCTTGCCAGGCAGGCACTTGTGCCACTGAGCTATATCCCCAGTTTGACTAATGCTCACGGAACTAAAATTATACTTATTACATAAGAAAATGTAAAAGGATAGATTATTTTAAAGCACATGATTCAGAGGAAATAAAGCTCATGAACATAATCCGTAATAATCCATGCTCCATCTGTTTCTTCTCAGTATTAAATGATCAAGGATTCTAATTAATTTTAATAGCAAACTATTATTTTGTAAAGTGACTGAAAGGGATTTAAAAAGAAGAGTGAAACTAAAGGAAACCACTGATTGAGTTATAAAACATGCCTTAAATCATACTACATACAACACAAAGAATTTAGGTTTAAAACTACAAAAACATTACCTCAGCGTGCAGGTAAGACAGGAAGTGGGAGATACCGTCACTCCCTGGTACCCTGTAAGATGACACACTGTGATTGCCACATTTCTGGGATATATTGCTCTGGCAGAGGTGGTTTGTCAAGGCTGAGGCTGTCAATCTGCTCGCTGCCATGGCAACGGCGATGTCACAGCCTGACAGGCTGTCACGGGCACTCCTGGCATCCTGACAGGTACACCCATTGTACACTCTCTGCCAAACACTACACAATGCAAAAAACGGAAAAAGGCATTATAGAAATAACCCTGAAACCTGCCGTAATCCTGCAGAACGTGTAACTTCACAAACATAAACGCCACTGCAAATAATTTGTGAGACTTGTCATAAATGACTCATCCATTGTAGGCGAGGACTGCAATACAACACCCACTACCAGAGGCTGCTCTAAGTACCACTGTTATTTTCACTTGTAAATATCCTCCGGAGTACACTATTTTAAGCTGCAAAGTGTTGATACAAACTGTTTCATTCAGGTTTAAGCTCGTAAACAGCAAGAAAAATTAAGATGTAAGGTATCCAGAGAGTGAGAAAAGCATACAGACAAGGAGGGACGCAGCTGGCAAAGACACGCGCCCAGAGAGCTCACACGAGACATGGCTGGGCCTCCCAGGGGCCAGCATCACTTCTAAACACAGAAGCATCCCTGGAAAACTACGCTGGCCAGCGCAGGAGGCTGTGGCGGGCGAAGCTGGTTCATTCCTTGGGATGTACTTAGTGATTTTTATTTATTTACTTAGCAGTTATCGCTAATCCTAGCTCTTGCCTAAGACAAGCCTATTTGAAAAATGGAAATGATATACTTACTACTGCCCCTGACCAGGATGGTAAGACAGAAGAGTTCATGGGATAATTATTCAAAATTAACCTCCTGCTTGGTTAGTTGCTTCTAAGATTCTATTCTGCTACTCTGACACAGTACAGAATCAGGAGGATCTTTATTTCAATAAAGTACTCCACCCAGTGACAGCATACAGTGCAAGTATTTATTTTATTACTTCTATCTGAAGGTTCTTATTTTTGGAGAACAGCAAGGCATTTTATTATCCACACTTTCCATTCCTTAAAGGCTTCCGCAGGTTTGGGCAAATTCACACTATCCTCACGACTATGTTTTGGAGTTGGTCTTGGTGTGTCTGCAGATTCATCATCAATCCACCTCACCAGCGCCTTAAAAACAGAAAAGATGCATTTTGAAAAATTTGTTTAAGATGCTTATTTTAGCATGGTGGCACGTCGCCATAATCCCAGCACTTGGGAGGCTGAGGCAGGAGGATTGCTGTGAGTTTGAGGCCAGCCTGGGCAACAGAGTGAGTTCAAGGCCAGCCTGACCCACAGTGAGATTGTCTAAAATATAGTGAGACTGTCTCAAAGATAAAAGAAACAAATAAACATGCATATTTTAGCAAATCACAGCAAATGAGTTATAGGCAAGAGAACACTGGTGTCTAGATCAAGATAACTAAACCTGTGATTTGTACTACCCCGAAGGTACTGCATTGATAACAATGGCTATAAAGACAAAAAACACACTTGTGATACAGTGCGTGAAATAGCATCTATCAAAATACACAAAATGTAATTGTGAATCATGATCAAAAATATGCATAGAAAAGAAGATGAAAAAGAAGTATATTATTTCTCATACTGCTTATTTTAAGGTGGCAGGGTAACAGTAACTTCTTTCCTGCAATCCAAGTATTCCACAGGCATTCAGCTATGCTTTTCACTCAGTGTGCATATGTATACACACGTAAGTGTATACCGAGGCCCAGGCAGACATATGTATGTGATGACGTGGATGCAGACCCTGAAGTGCCGTCCCGTGGGTGTACCGTCACACCCGTAAGCCATGACACGAATGTATAGGATCTGCATGGGGATGTGTGGGGCGTCTGTGTGCAAACACTCATGTACCTGAGATCAGGTACTTTCCCTTTCCCTCCTTGAAGAAAAACATCCTTCCCTTCATACCTCCCTCCATCACATATCCTGGAAGACAACACAGGGATACGGCTTTAAAACGTGAACTCTGCCACACAGACCAGTATGTATTGGGTCTGCGAAGTCAAGCTCTCTAAATGGCCATGAAGAAAAGAAACTTCTTTCACCACCTCTCATCGAACTGTAAGATGGTCGCAGGCATGCTGAAGTTTCTAAGCTTATTTCTTTGCATGTTGTTCTTCTAACCACAGCTTCCTGCTTATCTTTACGCTAATTTCCTCTGATAAATTATAGCTGTAGAGAAGGGCCTAGCAGAAAATGTCAGTTTGCTACTTAGGCAACCACTTCCCGCTTCTTTGCCCTGCCCCCAAACTTACCTTGTATCTTTCTACAATACTGAAGCCAATAGCACACTGCAATTTGCGTAAACAGATAGGGCAAAGGTTTAGAGGGCGCCGGTCAGCTTCTTCCAAGTGGTTGGAGCCTTGCATTAGGCATGCAAGCCACTGGCAGTGCCGCAGTCCAAAAATATGTCCGATCTCATGGGTTAAAGTCTGTAAGACATTCACGTTGCAGCGTTATAACACCACCATCAAGTTACACATCACTTCTTTGTCTTATTTTTCCACGAGAGTTAGTGGAACCAACTCCCTAACCATCCTCCTCCAAACTTCACTCTGCCTAGATCTTCAGGGATGCAGTAACCCCTCCTTTCTTCAAATGCCTCAGTACTTTCCTCACTATCTTTAATTACTCCCCCTGGACCAGTTTCTCCTCCTCAATACCTGTCTAACGTGTTGGGGAGTGAATTCTGTGTTGCAGGGAGCTGTCCTGGACACTGCGGGGCGCCCTTTCATATCCCTGGCCTCTGTCCACTGAACAACAGTAGAGCCCCTCTTCAATGGTGACAATGAAGAGGGTGTCCAGACACCGCCAAAGGTACCCTGGCAGCAAACTCCCCACCTCTGGGTGAACACCCCTCTAGCTCAGCATGGCAGTGGTTATAGTTCAGATTCTGGGGTTCTTTCCCCAGAGATGCTGATTCCACAGGACTGCGGCGAGGAGGCTTCATCAGCACGATCTGCAGCTGGTGACACGTCAGTTGATGCTGAGACAGGGCGGCCATGCTCTGCAAGCATAATTCTAGGAGATTCACCTCTCAAACACCAACAAAGAGTCCTGGCAAAGGCAGAACTTCTCTGGCCAAACTACAACTCTGCCTCTGGCTCGGAAGCAAGGTGACAATGGGGAGATGGGCTTTCAAAGAGCCAGGGTGGGAATATGTCAGGCGCTGTCACAGAATTATAGCTCGGACAGCGGGAGTCCAAAGAAAAAAGCCTTTGTCACTGAGACGCTGGAAAGCAGAGGCCCCTCCAAAATCCTCAGGAAGGCAGCTGGACTTACAATCATGGCCACCTGAATGAGGCCATTACCGTCACACACCAGGATTCTGGAGTTCAACTAACAGTAAAGGCAAAGGTATAGTGTGTGTACTAGCAGGACAAAAACTCACACCAGTACTGTCAATTTCTACAGTAAGACATCCAATTAAATTGTTTACTGTTGATTATTTCTCTCAAGCAATATCTACCAAAAGTATAGAAATTCATTTATAATATTACCTTAAGGACTGGTGAAGTATGATTTAGAGAACTAAGATCTTTTCTTCTTCTTTTTTTTTGTCTTTTTGAGATAGGGTCTCGCTATGCAGTTCAGGCTGGCCTTGAGCTCACTTTGTAACCCAGGCTGGCCTCAGACTCGCAACGATCCCCCTACCTCAGCCTCCTGAGTGCTGGGATCACCGACGTGTGCCCCCACGCCTGGCTCTCAAAATCTCTTCTTTTTAAAAAAGTACTATAGGATTTTTTTCTCACCTTACAGGACCGCAGCAGTAAGACACTAGTGATTTCAGGAATATAATAGTTATCAAAAATGGAATAGTCATCGGAAGATTTCCTCTGGAGCTTCTTCACTTTACCTTCATAGCGTGAGGTATAGAAATCCTTGCCATACCTGGCGAAGCTGAAGATCCCCACACCTACAAAAAGAGGACCCACAAGCAGGTATGAGGGTAAGATGCCTCAAGGAAAGACCAGAAAGCAGACAGCCTGCTGGAACATTCGGTCGGTGACTGCAAGCCCGTTACTGTGCACACAGTCTAACACACTTTGGGTTTGCTAAGGTAAAGGAAGGCTTCTGCCCCAATTTCCCAGTCAAAATCTTCACATGTTATCCAGTCTGCCCTGGCCTAGAAAACTCAGTTGACTTAAGGTCAAATTCTAGGGAAATTGGAGGATTCAGAGGATTTCTTCTCTCAAAGAAGTCTTTTTCTCAAGGAATAGTCTAAATCAAGTGCTCCTTAAGGGAACCATGAAAAATGATCACATGAACAAGAGGCAGTCATGACTTTGCTCTTTTCAGACAAAACCAACGGATCCATGTCAGTAAGGGTTGCTGGTTTCCCTCCTGCCCTGCCCACTCAGAGGTCTGGGAACCCTACTTTGGACCATGATTTTAGACCAAAAACCTCTTCTCGCCCTACCCCACTCACTTTTTTTTTACTTTTGTTTTGGTTGTTTTGGAATGAGGAATCGAACTCAGGACCTCATGCTTGCCAGGCATGCCTCCACTCACTTTTTACAGCACAGCATAACTCTATTTTGGTGTAAGTGACCAGAATAAACACCCGTGTAGCTGACTTCCTGCATTACATTTAGAGTTGTTATCTAGTCTTTGCATGCAAGGAGTTCGATGCAATTCTATAGGGCGCAGCTTTAGAGCTCAACTTGCTTACACTGTCACTTGTACTTATACTTTTCTCCCTGTTCTTCACATAACAATGATTTTCTTTTTTCCAGGACGGGGCTCAAAGCTAGGGCCTCGCCATGCTAGGCAAGTACTCTGCTACTGAGCTACACCCCAACCCTGGAATGTGTTTTGGTAAGGACATCACTCCACAGTAAGTTTATGCAAATCAACTCTACTAAAAAAGAAAGACCCTCACCTCATACACTGATATTTGAAATTTAGGGAAAGATGACATTCTAGAAGCTAAGGAAAAATGAATCTAGTCTTTAAGCATTGAGAACCTGTCTTTAAACACTGAGAAAACAAGGTCACCGGTAGTATGATACCATCTGACAGTGCAGCAGATCAATCCTGCTACTTTACCTTTGTCTTAGCAGATGCAATATTCAACTTACCCAAAAAAGGGGGCTAAAATAAAAAGGTTGGCAGGACATTTTCTGATGGCTTCAAATGCGTAAGATAAACTGGCTAGCAGTAGGTAGAATAAATTATTTTTAAGTTCTCTTTAATGTTTCCACCTCTAGTGGGTTAACAATAAAGCGGGGAACCTCTGATAAAAAGCTAATTCTCCTCTCAAGTCAGCAAGGCAGTTAGTGACCCCAGCCTCTACAGAGCACACCGGGAGGGTCATGGTTTGAGACTCTCACCAGTGTGAGAGCGTGTGTGAATGAATGGAGGGTAACGGAGCAGCGCTCACCGCCAGTAGAAAGAAACATGTGCTGGAGAAAGGCCTCCTCCCTCCACTAAACCCTGAGCCGGAGGCAGCCTACGGCAGACAGCCTGTGAACTCCGTGCAGTCCCTGGCGCTAACTCCCCGTCCCAGACTAGTAACAGTCTCAGTTCACCGGTCAGTTTCCCTTTCAGCCTGTCTTAGACCCCGGAGGACTGTGTGAGAGAAAGAAGAGCAAAATGAAGGAGCGGGAAGAAGAAACACAAGAACAGCTAAAACACAACTTGTCTCCAGATCCTTTCCCACCCCCGGTATGAACACGAGGCCTTCCCAGGGAGCTGCAGTGTGTTAGATCTCCAAAGTTGAACTCGATTTTTCTAGGGGAGAAAACGTCGTCACAGAGGATGAAAAAGCAGCACACTGATTTACCAGTCTAGGCTATTCCATCTATGCAAAAGGACTTTGAAAAGAGATGGACAATTGCCAAGATTTCACGTGTTAACGGTAACACTGCACTTCAAATATCCTTAATTTGTTCAATTCACCTTGCTCCCGAATTACATTTACCAGCTGTTGCTCTGAGCGCCAATCATGCGTCAGGTACTTTATGTACTGTTTTAGGCATTGCCACATAAACGACCTCCATGAAATAGGGATTATTATAACCTCAAGACCAACTCCGCAGTAAGTGAGCTGGGTAGTAAGGAATCCAGGCCTTTAAGAGTCTATCAACAAACAGCACGCTTCCTCACAGCATGAGAGACACCTCCGTGAAAACACTATTCAGTTTTAAATATCAGAACTATTTGTGGTTAAAATTCTTGTTCACTCAAGATCTCCAAATAGTAACTTTAGGAAGTTTTCACCAGCAGTGTCAAAAAAGAAATACCATCCGTCAGAGAGGCCTGTCCGAAGACAAAATTCCACGAGTCTCTTGGGTAAAGATCAATCATTGTTATCCCCACAACACAGAAGGCATCTTCGGGTTTCTTCTTTTTTAAGAATTTCAGGATATGTCCTATTTAAAAAGAAAAGTACGGGCGTATGTATACACACATAATATATACTTCCTGGACTTAGTTCATGTGATACAGCGGCTTAGCTCACCGGCATGGATCTGTAGGTTTTGTGTATGATCGTTGACTCTGAAGGAACACCTGGTCGCAGAAACAGAAACTGGGTCCAGGAGTTTCACTGTCAGGCCATAGAAAAATGCCTCACAGTAGCCCTTGAGCCATTTAATGTACTCTTCACTGATAACTCTCGTGTTTCCCAGAGCGCCTACAGCAGGGCAGCAAATTTAAAGACAGACTTTAAGACGATTAAAGCATTCAGACCTAGACTGACACAATGGTGCACACCTCTAATCCTAGCACAAAGGAGGCTGAATCAGGAAGATTCAGCAAGACTGCCTCGGCCACACAGTGAATTCAAGGCCTGCACTACATAATGAATTCAAGGCAGGTCTGGACTCGATTTGAGAATCTACGTCAAAATCAAACAAATAAATAAATCAGTCTTTACACTTCAGTCCATACATCAGACATTTGGAATTAGACCAAAACCAACTGTATAAATTTTCAGTACACCAATACACCTTAATCAGTCATTCATAGCAACATTTATTAAAAAGAAATAAAATCTTCACTTTTTTTTGTTTTGTTTTGTTTTTCTCCGGTACCGGGAACCGAACTCATGACCTTGTGCTTCCCAGGCAGGCGCTTTTGCCGCTGAGCTAAATCCCCAGCCCCAAAATCTTCACTTTTAAGTTAGTTTGACTACAGAACTTCTACCGCTGCCAACAAAAGTTAAAGAAAAAATTATCATAAATGATAGACCACTTGCCTGGCAAACACAAAGCCCTACGTTTAATCCCCCGCACTAAATAAAAAGATCTTCAAAACTGCCCAGTTGAAGCGGGTAATAGCCCAAATCATTCCTAACAGCACCACTGCACACCGAACCCAAACCATCCGACTACAGATAGATACCGATGGACTGTATATAAATGCTGCGTCTCTCTGGAGAGGGTGTCTTTCGGTAGGGATCACTGAAAAACTCTTCGAAGTCCTGGGGGGCCTCAGGGTGGGAGGTGATCCAATCTGACCGGGAATGCAAAGTGATGGGTCCAAAGAGTTCACTGGCTGGCTGGAAGGCTTCATTCATTAAACGCTGCTCCCTAACATCTAATTTCTCATACTGTGATACAAGCTTCGGGTTCTTTGAGATGAGAGCTGTTCTGAGTGTCTGTTCAGAGTGCCGTACTATCTGCATCTGCCAAAAGGAAAAAAAATAAAAATAAAACCGAGCAGTCAGATACACAATGCATAGCCATACTTGCGACTTTACCCGTCATTCACATACACGCATCTCTAGTTTCTCCCTAGATTTGGAATGACTGATCATTAATGGTCACCCTTCAGGGTGACTTCCCACTGCCAATCAATTTCTTGAGGAAGTGCCTCAGAAATTGAAAAGAGAATCATTAAATCCATTCTTCCATGTCACATGGAATCTGTCCCCACTATAAAAGCTAGTGGCGGCCCTAAGACTACGCATGACCTGGTTTCCTGTTTTCTTCGGTCATCTGGGTAATAATCACAATATTATGAGTTGACTCATTAAGGCCACATGAAAAACGCTCATCCTTTCCACTGTGACTCAAGGATATTCAGTGTTTAACAAAAAGAGAACTAGGGTCAGCGCCTACTTCTGTCATTTAACTGCAGGCCCACAGGAGTATCTCAGCCACTGAAGTCGATCATCTCAGCCATGTCTCACTGGGGAAGACATCGAATGACTAATCAAAAGCCAAGGCTCACAATGACAGCTCCCTTCCATTCACAGCGTGTTCCAGCGTAGCGCTTTCATCCTTCCACTGACTGGGTCACACAGATGTTCTACCACGAGGCTTTCTGAGTTAAAAAAGGAAAAACTTGAACATCTCTGTCTGGATCCTATCATATTTTCTAATTATCTAGATTTTTTTTTTTTTTCAGTTTAATGATAGACAACTAAAGGGAAAATTTAAGCTAACGTCTGTTCTCATTAAATCTCCGAATTCTGGGGTTCAATACGTGGCAGAGAATTCCCAATCAAAGGCCTTTAAGCGCCCAAACTCAGCGGAGCAGAGGATCATCAGCAGCGCCACACACGTGGGCTGAAATGTGACTTCTACAGGACAAAACATAAAGCAAGATAGGCCTCCCTGTATTCTACCTACCTTTAAAGGAGCAAGCCTCCCATTGAAGTTTTTACCTTACAAGGACGGCATGTCCATAAAATTGCGGAGGGTCCCTGCATACTAATACAAAAAAAGCAGTGTGAAGGGTCAGGAGGCCTCCTACAGCCTCCCAGCTCTGCCCTGGGTGGAGATGCCCAAGAAGCGGGGGCCGGGGGCGCAGCGCAGATGAGCGCAGAGCCGGGGACGCGTCCCTCCTAGCACGTAACTTCCCGGGAAAGACTACGGCGTCACCCGGATGGTTGCCATAGCAACTCGCACTTCGGGCTGGGGCCGGCGCAGGCGCGACCGGGTCCCCGCTCGGGCGTGGCCTGGGGCCTCCCCGGGGTCTCTCGCTTCGCTTTTTCTCCCCCGGGGCGCCTCTTAAGGACCGGCCTGGCTCCCAGGAGACACCCGCCCCCGCAGTCCTCGCTGCTTCCGCTGCGGCCGGCCCTCCCACTTCCGCATCCCTCCCCACCGACCGACCGCGACCGTGTCGGGCCTCGCTAACCGAGGTCCCCTGCCCAGGCGGCCCCAGCCAGGCGCTGACAGGGGCCGCTCCACCCTCACTCCTACGGGCCTCCGAGCCGCCCACCGGACGACCTCGGGCTGCCCTGCGCGTGCGCACCGTGCCCGGCGCCCTGGCCACGCCCATTGGGCGGCCCGCGTGCCGGCCCCGCCCAGTTGCACGTCACGCCCCTGGGCGCGAGGCGGCCCGCAGGCGCAGTAGTCCGCCTGCCGCCGCGGGGCGAGCGCCGCTAAAGAGCTCGCAGCTCCCGCCGCCGCCGCCGCTGCGTCCTTTCGCGCCCGCCCTCGCGGGGGCGGGGCAGCCCGCCTGGGTCCTGGCTCCCCCGGGGCCCCGCTGGGGTTGCCTGTTGGTGGTTGCTCAGCAGGCCGTGGGTTTGAGAAGCGCCCTGAGCGTGAGCGGTTTAACCACCCAGTTCCAAAATGAGCCAGCCGTGGCCGCAGGGTGACGCAGAGCCCGGGCGCGCCGGACTTTCCCTCCCCGGGCCGCTCTGGGGACGGCGGCGGCCGCGTGCGGCGCGGGCCGGGGTGCGGGGCCGAGGCCGGCCGTGCAGGAGCGCGCGGCCCGCCGCTTTGTTTTCCCGCACCCTCTTTTGTGTTAGTAGCCGCCTGCAAAGTGACCCCGCAGAAGTCCTCCCGCCTTATAAACCTGTTTCCCCAAACCCACGTTCCTTTCCCCCCGGTGTTCCCCCACGCTTCCTCTCAAGGGACACCCAGCTTTCTTCCCTGGGTGCTCCTTCCCGCGTAAGCTTCCCTCCAGCACCCTCCTAAGCTCCTGTTCGCATTTTTCCAGCTGTCTGCGTCTCTAAAGGACTGCGGGTTCTGATCTTATAAACGAACGGATATGTTAGTGGTCCAAGGCCCGAAGTGGCGATGTCAGAATGAATTAACATTTTCATTGTACTGTGCACGCTCGGAAGTATTGGGGATTGAGAGACGCGGTATATCTGTACCTTACTCTCAAATGGGATAGAAAAAAATTTGGAGCGACACATAAAAATAATAAGCAGATAAGGTAGAACTTTAGTAATTGGGGAATCTGGGTTGAGATTATATAGGGATTCTTTTTTTAAAACAGGGATTCTTTATGTTATTCTTGCCACTTTTCTGAAAGCTTCAAATTGTTTTAAAACAAACAAGTTTTAAGAAAAAAGTATTGTACTAGAGAGACTCGGCTTTCCCTTTTTCTATATGGGTGACCCCTTTGCCAACACTGAGAAACCTGGCTCCTATTATTTGCAAGGTTTTCTCTCCGAGAATATGTATGAAAGTAATTTCAGAATTGCTAATCCATGGCATGCAGACAGTCCTCCCCATTAGCATTCAGTAATTATGTACGGTTCTTTGTAGCCAGAAGATATATATTAAAATACTCTTAAGTTTCTTCAGTGAGTTACCCCACCTCTAACTTTGCTTTTAAGTGTAGCATTAATGTGAAGTATGTTTTGATTCCTTTGGCTTTCTTTGCACTTTTTACGGATTTCCCTCCAACCTTGTTGGTCTTTTTTGATTGTATGGTACATGAACATGGTTATAAAAAGAAGTTAAATGTGATGATAAATTCCAGTGATGGTAGACAGTCCTGGCAGAAGTGTGCGTAAACAGAATCTTCCAGGTGAGCAGCCTTGGCGTTGAGTCAGTATGTTTATACTAACTGACACAGCACGAGAGCTCACAGATTTCTGGTCAAGGAAAATCACCAAAATATTTTTTATAATTAGGAAGAAAACAATGAAAATGTTCAGCTACTGGAGACCGGAGAAAGTGTAAATCATAAACCATAAATTACGCTTACTCATATATTGTAATACAAACTAGCCATTTGAAATCATTTTTCAAAGACAGGAGTGATCTGGAAAAATAAACTTTAAGGGGAAATAAAGTGAGACCCAGAGATGTTTATACAGTGAGATCTTACTTGGTTTTTAAAAGATGTGCCAATAAATAATAATAGTCATTATCTCTGGGTGATGAGATTTGGGGTGGTTTTGATGTCTCTCTCTCTTAACTAGTTCATTTGCATTTTCCAAACGTCCTATAATAAATATGTATTACCTACTCTACATTTAAAAGCACTGTGTCCACAAAGTTAGTGATATATTTAGACATCCCAAAATATTCGGACAACCTGGGTCTCTAATCCCAGATTCTCCATGCATCCCTCTCCCTTCCTCCCCCTTCACCTGTTTCCCAGTCTTTCCCCGACAGCCTCTGAATTTTCCTCACTCTGACACACCACTAATCTGCGATTCACTTAGAGGAACAACCAAGATATCACATTCTTCCTAGTGCATTGATTTGATTTAAAAACTATGCATTTGAAAATATTCCAAAAGTATTCCATCCTTTTTACTTTATAAAAGGTCTAGGTGTGGTGGTGTGTGCCTGTAATACTAGCACTCGGGAGACTGAGCCTGAAGGACCTCAAGTTCAAAGCCAGTGTGGCCTATACAGCAAGACCTCACCCCAACCCTCTTCCCTTAAAAAAGTACCCATGAGACAGGGTCTCGCTGTGCAGTCCAGGCTGGCCTTGAGCTCGCTTTGTAGCCCAGGCTGGCCTCGAATTTGTAGCAATCCTCCTGCCCCAGCCTCCCAGGTGCTGGGATTACAGGCATGAGCTACCGTGCCCAGCCTGTATAGTGGTTTCTTGACCTGATAATTTTAGCTAGTGCTTACAGATTTGTTGTCATGATAGATGAGGATTTAACGTAATACTTTCCATTGCTTGGTTGTATCATACATTCTGATTGAATCTATAGTCAGTATTTATATTATCATTATTATGCAGACACTGGTCTGGTCCCTGCAGAACCAAATAATGTACTATGGTCATACTTTCTTGCTTGTGTAACTCTTTATGTTTTTGCCTGGAGTTAATAATTACTTCACTTCTGCTGGGTGGTGTGGTGCATGCCTGTAATCCCAGGACTTAGGAGGCTGAGACAGGAGGATTGCCATGAATTTGCGGGCTGCCTGGGCTACATAGTGAATTCAAGGCCAGCCTGAGCTACATAGCAAGACTCTGTCTCCGTAGTAATGATAATAATAATAACCTCATTTCTGTTATTTGATTCCTTCTTAGAATTATATTTATTAGCCTAGTTTTCAAGGATCTCTTCTCTGATTCTTTACTTTTTTTTTTTTTTTTTAACGCTCCCCCATCTGTGTTACGCAGGTGTTGGTGTTTTCCGCATAGCCCAGGCACTGTGTTTGCATCTCTTCCCCTGGAAACTTCTTCTCCTGTTCCAATCTAAGCTGTCCCCTGCAGACTTGCTGCAGAGCTGTCATCTCACTCCTCTGCTCTGTGGGTTCCCCTGTTTCTTAAACTCATAAATTCTGTTCTTCCCCTCTCTTGCCTTGCTCCTTTGGTTTTATTGGCACACCCCCCAGAAACTTCTGGAATAAAAGTACATAGGAATATTTTGAGATCTTGCATATCTAAAAATCCTACCCTTATACTTTACTAAGACTTTACCTGGGTTTCTATGGAATTCACTTCCATGAAAAGGTTGGAAATCACTTCCCCCTCTGAATTGTAAAGAACTGTCCCCAGCCTCTTCTGATGTCCAGTGTTGCTCTAGAGATATGACTGCCAAGCTGGGCGTGGTGGCGCACCCCTGTAATCCCAGCACTCGGGAGGCTGAGGCAGGAGGACCCTTGCGAGTTTGAGGCCAGCCTGGGCTACAAAGTGAGCTCAAGGCCAGCCTGAACTGCATAGTGAGACCCTATTTCAAAAAGTAAAAAAAAAATATGTGACTACCATACTGGCTCCTAGTCCTTTGTATGTTACCTCTATTTCTAGAAAGCTCTCAGGATCTCCTCTTTGTCCTTAGAGTTTTGAAGTTTTAAAATGACCTGCCCTTGCCTGAACCTTTTTTTTCTATTCATTTTGTTGCTCACTCAGTGGACCCTTCCATCCTGAGACCCTTTTTCTTCCATTCTGAGAGATTTTCAAGTATTATTTATTCGATCATTTCTTTCCCTCCATTTTTTTTTTGTACCAGGAATCAAACTCAGGGCCTCGTGCCTGCCAGCCAGGCGCTGCACCACTGAGCTGCATCCCCAGCCCCTTTCCCTCCATTTTTGCTGGATGTTGAATTCTCAGAATGGATCCTCTCATTTCCTTATCTTTTTCTTTCACATATTTCTCTCTATCCTCTTGTACTGTTTTCTGAAGTTGTCATCAGCTTACCTATCCTGTCTAAGTACCACTCACTAACTGATTGCACCACTGGAGCTCCTCTATCCTTTCTTTGAGGGGCTGGGGATTTAGCTCAGTGGCACAGCGCCTGCCTGGCAAGCGCAAGGTCGTGAGTTCAATTCCTGGTACTGGAAAAAAAACAACAAAAAAAAGAAGTGCTTTCTTTGAGTATTTATTTTTAAATAGTCTAGATCTTTAATAGCCAAATATCCTTTCTGGTTATGATTGTTTATCTTATTTTGCACCTTGAATGTTTGTGTCATTCATATGCCAAAATTCATATGCTAAAACTTAATCCCCAATATGATAGCTTTAGAAGGTGGACCTCTGCAAAGTGACTCGGTCATGACCTACATCCCATCCGTAGTACCACTACCATAGAAAAAGGAAGAGAGACCCAAGAGAACGAACTCACTCACCCTTTCTAATAGAGAGAAAGCACCATCTGTGAACCAGAAAGCAGGCCCTGAGCAGACACCGAATCTGCTAGCGCCTTGATTTTGGACTCTACAGCCTCCAGAACTGTAAGTACTGTAATAAATTTCACTTGTTTGTAAGCTACTCACCTGCCTATGATATTTTGTTAAATCAGCCTGAACAGACTGAGATACACCCTTTTTCACTTCAAGGACTAAATGTCTTACGTCTCTTTGGATACTCCCTTGAAGGCATTTTTTGTTTTTGTTTTTCCTGTGGCCTGGTTTGGTCTTTTTCTTTTACTCTAGAAATTTCCATAAACATCCGGCAACCCTTGGCTATCAGTTAAGATTTTCTCAGGCGGCCCCAAGGGCAGGTGGAGGATCTGTGAGCACCAATGCAGCTCCTCCCCCTGGGTTCTCAGAGGTGACCTGACAGAGGGCCAGTTTGTTCACTGATGGTAGCTCCCTGCAGGGTCT